AGCCATGTTAGTGATTGACAGGTCTTGGTGGCAGTAATAATAATACCAATGCAGCCACAGTAGTGATACTACTTCTGGAAATAGAATCCAGGTAGATATGTGCCAAGTACTAGATTAAACCGTCCACGTGTCTTATCTCAACCAATACCATGAGGAAGGTTCTTGTAGCATGCTCGTTTTAGCAAACCAGGACATGGAGGCTCAGAGAAGCTAAGTAACTTGCCCAAGGCCAGTCAGGTAGAAAGTGACAGAGATGGGAAATGAACCCAGGCAGCCTAAGCCTACAGCAAGTGTTCTTAATCTTTTTATTAATGAAGACTAAAAATGGGATATGGTGGCTCATGTCTCTAATTCCAGCACTTTGGGTAGTCAAGATGGGAGGATAGCTTGAGGCCAGGAGTTTAAGAACAGACTGGGCAACATAGCAAGACCCCATTTCTAAAAAAAAAAAATAGCCCGGCATAGTGGTGTGTGCCTATAGTCTTAGCTGCTTGGGAGGCTAAGGCAGGAGGATTGCTTGAGCCTGGGATGGGAGCATGAGGCTGCAGTGAGCTATGATCATATTACTCCACTTCAGCCTGGGTGACAGAGCAAGACCCTGTCTCTAAAAATATTAAATAAGTAAATAAATAAAAAGACGATGGAACTGTCAGTTTATGTCACATCTGTCATCAACATTGCTTATTCAAGCCATATCACTCCATCCAGGTCTGCAGGCGGAGGCAGGCACCTGAAGCCACCAGGTTTTCTTTTCCAAACCTCTTCAACCTCTCCAGACTTCCTGGAATGAGTCCCTGAGGGCCAGCTAGTAACCAGAGGGGGTAAAATGTCTAAAAGTGGAAGAAACGGTCTTCACGTGAACAGTAAGCTGGTGAGAGTGGATAAGCTTCGAAGCACACTATCTAGGAAGCACTGTCAGGATTTGTCAAGTGTTTCTGGACTGAAACAACAACCTCATGCAGAGTGAAGACTTTTCCAAAAACAACAGCTTGAATCAGGGTGCTCACAGCCTGGGCAGCTCAGCTTTTTCACCCTCCGGGCACAGTTTGTGTTCAGTTCTCTGGAGTGCAAGGATGGGGAGGAAACCCTTATTCCTATGACAAACTTCATGAGGAATGTAAGCAGGAGGGGACATGAGGCACACTTGGCACATCTCACAGCTTTTAGCTCCTGGGTTAGGGCTTAGGAGAGCAAAACCTGAGTCTTTTTAGTTACTTTAGTTATCAGCACCTCTGGATTTAGGTGTTTCAGAAACAGCTAGATCCTCACTTGAGGCATCTCAAAAGTGATGCATCTGAAAAATATTGGGTCATTGGGCTGGGAGAGTAGCCACCTCTGTCTCAAAGCTCATTCAGTGGGGAAAAACTGCTTGTAGCCTGTATTGTGGGATTTTCTGCTTCTTAAACTGGATCTTGAAATTGAAAAAGAGAGTATGTTTACTAAGAAACATTTTTGGGCACTTAAACTATGTTCTCTTAGCTTCAAACATTCCTAAAGAAAATTGATGTAATCAGTTTAGTAATTTGAATGGTTAAAGAGCACTCATGAAAATGACGTCCCAGGTTGGTCACGGTGGTTCATGCCTGTAATCCCAGCACTTTGGGAGGCCAAGGCAGGAGGATCATTGGAGGTCAGGAGTTTGTGACCTGGCCAACATGGCAAAGCCCTGTCTCTACAAAAAAAAAAAAAAAAAAAAAAAAAAAAAAATTAGCTGGATGTGGTGGTACATGCCTATAGTCTCAGCTATTTGGGAAGCTGAGACAGGAGAATTGTGTGAACCTGGGAGGTGGAGGTTGCAGTGAGCCAAGATCACACCACTGCACTCCAGTCAATTAAAAAAGAAAAAAAAGAAAGAAAATGACATCCTTCTGTGCTGTGTCAGTAGATGCAACTATTGCACTGTTTCAGCCTCAAGTCAATACCTAGAATTAAGAAAACTCCTTAAAATGTTTTTTCTGCTCTTATTTATTGAACTGTCTGGACTGTGAACCACAGCATCATGAGGTTAGCAGAGGAGTGGGCTGGGATGGAAACCAACCTGTGTCACAGACACTGTCCTGGGCTTGGAATCATGGAAGTGTTTTTATCCTGACCTAGGCTTGCCAAAGCTGTGCCTATTGACACCAGAAAACTAGCCTGAAAGTCAGACCCTCAATCAACTGCCTTAGTTCTCTGCACTTCCTCATTGAAGAGTTCTGGTCTGGGATTGCAGAAGGACGACGGACGGGTGTGGAAGTATGAGAGAGGAAGGTCAAGGGTGTGGTTGTATGCATGCAAGTGTGTGTGTTTGTGTGCATGCGCGCGTTACCACGTTGACCAGAGATGAGGAGAATGATGGACAGTTGATGCACCGCTGAACGGTGCGGATGCCACAAAACAAACAAACAAAAAAGAATAATCTCCTGAGCCAGTTTTCCTCTGGGCGCTGTAGAAAGGGACAGATCTGAGGGCAGGGGACACACACTCAACAGTTGCAGTTGAGACTGCAAGTGTGGAATATTCTGGCCAATTTACAGATAATAACAAACAGAAACAGGAAGACTTAGCTCCATGATGCCAAGAAAGAGGTCAGGTTGGTTTTTTTCTTCTCACTGAATTGTCTTTCTACCTGAGGCACATGACACATGATGGATGACAGTGACATGGCTTTAATGGAAGGGACAGAAGTTTAGTTGAACTTGAGGCATTAGAAAATAATCTTGAAACAGCAGCAAGTTCCAGTGAAATCAGTGCAAGGTAGCACATCTACAAACCAAAATCATCTGTAACTTGCTACAGTACAGTATGAGGACTGCCTGGTATAGGCAGAGCAGAAGAAGCTGAGAGGTCCTAGTACTGCTAAGATATTCATGGCATTAGTAATGTCAGAAAGACTTGAGGATTCAGTCAAAGCTACATGGCATGGTTGTCAAACTCGAGCGTGCATCAGAATCACTTGGAAGGCTTACTAAAACTCATATTGCTGGGCCTCATACCCTGAGCTTTACACAGTAAATCTAGGGTGACTGCATTTTTGACATGTTCCCAAGACATGCTGGTGCTGCTGGTGGGGGCCCATACTGGATAGAACTGCTACTATCCAGTAACCAGAAGCAGAGTGTCATTCTGCTCCATTTAGTAGATTATTGTATCCTCATTCTGATGACTAGATTTGAAAAGGTACGCAGAGAAATGGTAGATGATATGGAAATGATATGGAAAAGGGATCAGGAAATGATCAAAATGATATAAAATCAAATCAGAAACACAAGACATAAAATAATCGAGAGTTTTATTTTAAGAAGAAGAGAACAATATTGTTTAATGGATATTTTCAATATATCAATATTGACTGGGATTAGGAGGTTCTCTGTACCTCCAGAGGTTTGGTCAAGACAAAAGTAGAATTATAATATAATTAGAAAGATCAAAATTTGGAATTTCAAAACACTGCAAGGCAATGAGAGAAAGTGTTCAGTTTCCAAAGAGATCATGACTTAGGTGATTTCGATTTGATATAGAATATTCTACTCCATATGTTTTCTTCAAATTATTAGGTTCTATAGAATCCCAGAATAAATTTGTTCATGTTTCAAAAGGATCAGGGAAGGAGTATGGTTGGATAGGAACCAATTTTCCCTTAGGTTTTATCCCAGTAACCACATATATCTGTAAAAGACAGGCCTTCATCTCTCCTTACGTGAAAGGTCTGTATTTTCACCAACTCAAGAATCCCGTAGATTCACAATGTGGTTTTTAGTGAGAAATGCAAATCCAAGACATACAAAGAAATCCATAAGATGCTCTTTTGCCTTTTAAAATATTCTATTTGTAACTGTCTGTTCAAATACTTGCTACCAAGGGAATCTGTGCCCTAGTAAATAAGTATGTCCCAAACTTATTTTCAATTGAAATTTGTTCATTTGTGCTTGACGCTAGTATTTGAATTTTCTATGATTAAAAAATTCATAGATTCTTTTTGTAAATATCTTATACAGTGGACATATTTAAGTTACATATTAAAATCCACGTAATGTGCTTTAACGTGTTTCTATTGGATTAAAAAAAGTTCTCACCTCCTTGGGCAGAAAGGAAGCACAGTACCTGTGACCAGGGTAACTATTAACATTAATAGTATTTTTGATGCTGAAAATGAAAAGGTTACAGATAAGTGTCAAAGGAAGGTGAGCTATTTTAAAATTGCTCTGTTGTACCTGTCTAGAAAGGTTGCTTTGGAGTAAGTTCAGTCAAATTTTAGAAATCAGAGAACAAAGGTTTTCATCTCAATCATCTCAAGACGAATTCATGAAGACACTTGCAGATCCCAAACCCAAACCACTCATGTCCCAAAGATAACTGTCCTTGGAGAAACGGAGGTAAAAACCTTCATTGCCTGTGTGCACACACACACCTATAGAAACACATTGCATCTACAGAAAGCTTCTGAAAGAACTAACTTAAGATAATGATGATTAAGATTTTTAAAAGTTAGATCATTAACATGGGAAAATATATTTATGGATCTTTATCAGACACTGAGAAGCTGTAGGAACAGTTCAAAGTTCATCTCCATTGAATACAGACGAGTAATTAACCTCTGACAAAAATAAACACTTTAAATATATATTATTTATACGGTACATTTACATTTAAAGAATGCTGAAAGTGTGACACTTATCCCTGCAAATCAGCATCATCTATAGACAGTTAGCATCAGCATCCCTGGAGCTTGCTGGAAATTTAGCCATGCCCCAGACTGACTGAAGCCAAGTTTGCATTTTAACAAGATTCTCAGGTGGTCTGTATACTCCTCAGATATTTAAAGTTTAAGGAGCCCTAGCCAAAATTACCAATATCCTTTTCTATAATTTTTTTAGAAGACAGATTTGTGAATTCTTTTTAGAAGACAGTTTTGTGAATTCAAGCCATGATGTATAAAACTATTAGTGTGTGATTCTTAAAATTCTAAACAGACTTAGAGGTACTAACCATATATGAAGATACTCAATAATGATGACAAATTTTAAAGGGGACAATAAGGCAGTCTTTTCCTTTATTATACCAGGCATACAATCAACATGGAAACTTAAACATTATTCAAAATCACAACATAGTAGTCACTTAATTAATATGTATTTTAAATCTGAAATGGCAAGTCATCCTAACTTCATATTATCGTATATTACTATAAAATAAAGTCAATTATTATTTTAATAATGGATTAAGCATTTTTTTAAAAAAAGCCGAAGAAATCTCCACAATATTTTTATTGTCAGTAAGTATCTCTATTCCTCATCTGCTCTTTTAAACTTCTTATTTTAAATCCTGGGGGAGTCTAAGACTATTTCTGCATGGCCAAGTCAACCAACAAATCCACCCCTCCTGAACCTGGCTCCTTAATTTAGGCTCCCAGGCAAGGAAGCCTACGTCCCTTCTTCCCACCCCCCAGGTACTAGGAGGGAGGTGGTCCCCTTAACCTTTAAAAACAAACTTCACTAATAGAAAGAAATAAAGAGTTAAGGGAATAAAAGGAAACCAAACCCTAGCTAGTCATAACCAAGATAACTAGTTTTGACTAATTCAGGATTCTGGTGAAGTAATGGAACTGTCCTACTTACAAGGATAACTCTTTCTGCTGGAAAAATATCAATTCCTTGATAGCTAGAAATTTTAATTATGTGGAGTAAAATATTACCTGCTACCTCAGGACTGTTGGAAATGGGACACTTTTCCATGAGGTCTTTGGTCCTGTTGTAAAGTTAACATTATTGGGTATATGTATGCACAAATACATACATACACACATGTACACTGAGGTATGTGCACACTTAAAAATAATTAGCTCCATAGGAAAAAGAAACCTTGTAGAAAACCACATAAATATCCATCTATTTTCACAATTTAAACAGTAAGGGCATGTTATTAGTTGAATTAAAAAATCTCTTAGCTGAAACTAGATATTTTAAAAACATGGGTCAAGAACAACCACTTAACTAGTGTAATTTTAAACAGGAAGTTTTATGTCTTTCTTTTTTCTGAGATGGAGTCTTGCTCTGTGGAGCTGACTTGCTCCAGGCTGGAGTGCAGTGGTGCGACCTTGAGTCACTGCTACTGCCCCCTCCTGGCTTCAAATGATTCTCCTGCCTCAGCCTCCCAAGTAGCTGGGATTACAGGTGTCTGCCACCACGCCTGTCTAATTTTTTTTATTTTTAGTACAGACAGACTAAAAATATTGGTCAGGCTGGTTTCTAACTCCTGACCTGAGGTGATCTACCTGCCTTGGCCTCCCAAAGTGCTGGGATTACAGGCAAGGGCCACTTCGCCAGGCCAAGTTTTATTTCTTAAATGTAGAGCCAAACTCTGTGACAGGAACATGCCCTGGTATCCACTGATGGATGAAAGCTTGCAAGGAGAAAGACTTAGATTTTGGCAATGGCTTCAAATTCTGACTCTTCCCTTGTGCTTTGTGGCCTCAGACAAATTTTTTATCCTCTCCTCTCTTAGTTTTAGTCTTCTCACCTATAGAAGTAGTATTTTTGTGATTATAGTAAAACACCCAGCATGGGGCCTGGCACACATGTGGTCACAACAAGTACATATTATTCTCATTATAACTCTTACTATTGGAAATATGCAAATTGAGCCACTATTTCTATAAAATCATCATTTATTCCTCTAAAACCTCACTATGGATGTTTCCCAGCCCCTGTCAAAACCAACTTACCTTTGTCAAGTCTCCCATGGTGATCCTATTCAATTTTCACTAATTAAAAATAAACAGACTCCATCATATTCAATCTACCAACTCCATCAGATGTTAAAAAAATATTTTAAAGGCATCAATTTTATTAGATTGATCATACAGTGATATGTATTGAAAATTCTTTCCCACTTGTTAAGTATTTCAGTCCCTCTCCTGCTTCCATAAGTAACCTCAGGGAGGAGACACAGATTCAAGTAGAGGATTTTTTCACACATGTGCGACATTAGAAGAGGCTTTGGAGAGAAGGCATCAGCATGCAGCCTCCCAGAGTGGTCCCGAGACCACCCTGGGCATCACATCTGGGACAAACCAATAAGGTTAACTTTTACAAATGATTCCCCAACAACCCTGAAGTACTGCTCTTGCTGCCATCTGAATGGGCTAAGTTGATGTGCTGCCAAGAATTTTTTCCACTGATTATATAGACATAACTATAAATCCATTGCAAACGCAGGGAAGGTATCTGTGTCTACATTTGTGTGCATGAACAAAAATGAAAACTGAGACACATTGATTTTACAATGTGTTTAAAGTGAATTCTTCTTTGCAATGTCCTGACTACATTCTTGCTCTCTGAAAACAGGCAATATGACTTTTCTTGAATATAAATTGGTTTTTGGTGAAAAGAAGTTAAAAGATTTCAAACTTAACTTTTCATCAACAGCCGATGGTCATTCTGTTTATGACCTTATAGGATGTAGCTGGTATATATCACAGTCATAGACGGACACTGTGCAATCACAAACAAACCTAATCATTAAAATAGGGGACTGCCTGTTTCAAATGCATTATGTACCACAGACAGTATGAAACCAGAAAACCTTGGTCCATGATATTTATTCTTTTTGTCTCAATCAAGAATAATTATTAATATATTCTTAGAGAGAGGAAAGGTGAGGCTTTCTTATTTCATGATAATGTCACATTAGTTTATTTTTTCAGAATATATTAAAATAAATTTAATCTACTTTTAATAGCTATTATTAATGTTTTTTCCTTTTGTTTTCTGAAAACAATCAGACAATAGCTTAAGAAACTACAATGAGGATCTAATGAATCCTACTTCATATGAAAATCAAAACCTATTTCAGGATTCATGTTAGAAAGTACATATTGAAAGATGACCTCTTGGCACCTAGATTTACATGGCAGCATTTGAAACTAGTGGCCTAGCTAACACAGTCAACCATGCAGAAGGAACTGCAACGTTTATAGAAACACCAAAGGAATTCTTGTGAACAGTAACTGCCGAAAGGAAAGAAAGAACGAATAACAACGGCTTCATGGTTTCAATGCCGGTGACATTACTGAGTTCATGTTAGTAAAATCAGGTCCCTTTCAAACACAATTATGTAAACTATTTGTATTGGATTGAAAGGGCTGTATTCTGTTACATACATGCAGCATTAAAAAATCTACCATCATGTAAAAAAAGAACGGTCTGGAAAAAGTAACTCTCAGTTCTCCTCAATCACTCAGATTTATTTTAAAGTCCAGGTAAAAACTCTGAAACTTATTTACTTCTTATAACATCGTGGCCGTATCATATCCCTTCCTTCCTTTCCTACCCCCAATAAGCCCTTCAAACAAAATATAAAAGGAAACCCCTGCTCCCAAGCAAAACAAAAGAATATTGCGTGAAGAGCTCAACAATTTTTTTTGATGGTGAAAACACTGGTAACGTTATTTTCACTTCAATCACTTAACTCATCTAAACGATGTCACTGCTTCACCAGTGCTAAGTGCTCCTGTAGCTTGAGAGGGAATCCAATGCAAGGAATCCAAGGGAAACATCTCAAGCCTTGGCCAGGCAGTGGAAGTGCTTGGTAAATGCTGAGTCCTCTGGGTGCAAGGATGCTACACATCGCTGGGCGAGCGCGCTCTCTGGGCGAGACTGGATGGGATGCAGCCACAGCAAATGAGACAGAGCGCTTTCTGGATCTCTTGGTTTCTGAAAGCATATATGACAGGGTTGATGATGGAATTGTAGGTGGCGGGCAGGAGGGTGGCGTAGGTATAGATGGAGGGGTAGGTGTAATCTGCTATCAAGGAATAGAGGGTGAAAGGCATCCAGCAAGCAGCAAAGGTCCCCAGGATGATAGCCAGGGTGGAGACCCCTTTCCGGGTGGTCACGTAGTGCGACGTGGCCAGGAAGTGGTGCTGCAGGGCTATCTGATGGGCGTGCCTCATCACAATCTTGCAGATCTGGATGTAGAGCTGAAGCATGAGCGCGAACATGAAGAGGAAGGACACCGAGAGGATGGCCGCGTTGTTCTTGGTGAGCGGTCTGACCACGCTGCAGGTGGACTCGTCTCGGAGGCAGTTCCATCCCATGACGGGCAGCAGCCCCAGGCAGATGGAGGTCCCCCAGAGCATGATGAGCATGACATAGGTAAACGTGACCGTCCTCTCCGAATGGTACGTCAGAGCGTAGTATAGTGAGAGATAGCGGTCAACAGTGATAGCCAGCAAGCTGCAGACAGAGGCAGAGAAAGAGGCGACAATGAGGCCGATCGTGACCAGCTTGGTGGCTTCTGACTGAAGCAAGTAGGCAAAAACAAAATTGATGATGAGTCCAATGCCGGCCAGCAGGTCTGCAAGAGCCAGGCTGCCTATCAGCAGGAACATGGGTGCTCGCAGGCTGGGGTTGTGGAAGATGATAAGGACCACAATGGCATTTTCACAGGAGATGAGGGTTCCCGAGGTACACAAGACAATGTCCCAGGGGTTGACTACGAGCTCAGGCTCTGGCTCTACGACAGGAACCCGGGAGGAGACAGCAGCCGAGATGTTCTCCGCAGCAGCGGCATCTAAATAATCCCGAGGCAGCCCGCTTAAATTGACCTTCAGGTCTTCATTCATTTTAACCCCTGTCCTCTTCAACGAAAAGACAGGCTTTTTTTAATGTTTAGATACAGCAGGGTGACAATCCAAGATCATGCAAAAAACACAGACAAACAGAAAGCCAGCCACTACTCAGATGCCAGTACCGAATGCCACAAGCTTCGGGAATGAGGAACTGTTGTGAAATGAAAGAAAAGCCAAAGTCTCGGTGGTTTAACCCCCACAACAAAAACGCCGTTTGGCATTGGAGAAAACACAGGGTAGGACTTCAAAACACCAGCGTGAGCGAGGCAGGCACACATGGACTCGCGGCGCTCTGTTTGCAAAAGCGCCGGGAATGCACATTGGAAAATCGCATCTCGCATGCTGAAAACGAACAACTGTTTGACATCTGGGCTGCTGCCGAGAAACCCACGCGGCAGCGGCAGGTCGCGAGCCGGGGGCCGCCATCCTCGATGGAATATTTAAATCACCTATTTCCATCGTACTCCCACCCTCCAAACACATCCCACGCGCGCGTGCACACCCTCGAACGCACCCCCGACCCGAACAAAGAGGGGCTCCCAGACTCCCCCCGTGCGCACGGGGCAGTCGGGAGGGCCACAAAAGAGAGGTGTGTGCAATGGAAGTGCCGAGACAAACAGACAGACAGATGCCCATGCACTGCCGCCACTCCCCTTGCGGCGGAAAAGGGAGTCGGAGGCGAGGGGGACAGACAGGGTGCGGGGACGGGCGGCCCGCGGGGGCGGGGGGTCATCGAGGGGGTCACCTTGGCACGCCCAGGCCGAGGGGGGCTCCTCCGGTGCTTCCGAAGCGCGCGGGCTATTCGTGTCGCCTGTCGGCGTCGGTGCCCGCGGTGGGAAGGGGCGGCGGCCGGGCTCGGGAGCGGGCCGGGAGGGCGCTGGGCGCCCGCTCCGCGGCAGGTAAGCGGCCGGCTGCAGGTGAGCAGCAGGCTCCGCTCGCGCGCCCGGCTCTTCCCGCCGCGCCCGCCCGGCCCACACTCTCCCCGCGCGCGCGCCGCCCCCGCCCCGCGCGCGCCCGCCCGCGGGAGCCCCGGGAGGCTGCGCGCGCCCCCACGGGTCGGGGCTGCGCTAGGGCGAGGGCAGGCGAGGGCAGCCCCGAGGCGGGCGCGGGGCGAGAGAGCCCAGAGGCTGAGAACTGCACGGTCGCCCTGCCTGCGTGCAGCGTGGCGCGCCACACCCCAGCCGGCGGTCCCGGGCTTGCACCGGGAGGGGCAGGGGAGCGCTGCCTGAGAGCCCCGTGACCTATTTCGTTCCTGTGGTTTCCCTGGGGAGTTCCAGTCTTCAGGGCCCTGGCTACTCCACGCCTTCACCTAAACCGCTGCATTCAGGGCCAAAAGAATTGCTTAGACTGTTATTCACGATCAGCAGCAGGGATGCGGGTGGGCAGGTTAGGGAAGCAGATCTTTAAAAGAACAAAATGCCCCGCACGCTTTTGTAGGATTGCCCATGGTCCTGGAACTGGTTCATGATCACTGTTCCCCAGGAATCTTTGCTTAACTGGAGAGATGCTGCTGCTATGTGGGCCATCATTATCATCACCAAATTGCACTTACAAAGTGCTCTTTGAGCTGTGTTTTCAAATGGGAATCATTTACTGAGTTCTTGTAGATGCTTCCTGCAGACGCTGGCCAAACCCCAATTCATTTAGATACTGAAGTGCCACTATTAATTTATTTTTTTCATTTTGCCACTTCAGTGGATTCTAAGATGAAGAACCTGATAGCTGTCTGCTCTTATGGGTCTATGCCTCCTTTGGGTATAAAATCCAGAGCTCCTCGCAGACCTTAAGTTCGAAGATGATCCCCCAGTTTAAAGATGGGAGAAGAAAAAAGTATGATAGTCTTGGCAGAGGTGAAGATTTTCCCACTGCCTTTCTTCCACTTGCTTAGGCACTTCTGTATGAATGGAGATGGCCAGCAGGCAAGGGACCCTACAGGGGCATCATCAGCTGACCAGCCTGTCTCCCCCGGTGCTCACATCATCTCTATCCCAGCCCAATGGATTCAGAGCCTCAATCACCCTTGACTTTCTTCCTGCTTCTCCTCCTCTTTTTCCATCATTCAGTTTCTGGCTCTGCAAGGTCACTCCACCTCTCCCTGCATGCTGCTTCTCATCATCCTCAGCTCCCTGGTTGAGGCCCTCATACCCTCTCACCTGCGTTTCTGGTACCCACCTGCCTTTCCTTTTCCCAACTTTCTCTATTTGGCACATCTATTCCATGATGTCCAAGACTTCCTGCTGCCTCCGGAATAGTCTGAACATTTTACCTGGACAGATTCTGCTCAGTAATCTGGGTTGGGGCCCAGCTTCTGCATTTGTAAGCAGCACTCTTCCGTAGTGCTGCTGCTGCTGCTACTGCTGCTGCGGGATCACAGATCATATTTGGAGAAGCAAGGTTCTATGGATTTTTCAGAGTGGATTGTTCGTGGTGGGGAGACATCAGACACCTGTGTGTCCCAAGAACCTGGCTAAGGGCTGGACATACAAATTCAGTAAGACACGGTCTCTGCTCACAGTGTGCACAGTCTGATAGTGACACACACACACACATGAACAATAATGACAGGCAGCAAATGCTTTCATGAGGGTATGTCATCTCAATTTCTGTGTGATAAAGAGTTTTAGAACAAAGCAAAGAAAAATGAACAGTCGTTTCACAAACAGGGGTTTTGGCAAATATAGCTTGACCTATGTGGCAAAATTTTAGGCATCTCACACTGGCAATGCAGTTTAGGGGAAGCAAATGCATGGGGCTGGCCAGACCTATACCAGCCAATAACACTGACATGGCCCTAATCTCACAGAGCTTAAAGGGGTGGGGTTTTTTGATTCAGTCGTTAATGTGTTTGAGAAATTTAAAAAAAACTGAGTATTGGAGGAGAGAAAAAGATATTGAGGTGAATGGTAGAGTGTACAGATTTTTGTAAAAAAAAAAATTGTAAAACCTGGGAGGAGTCAAAGGAGGAAACTGAGGCAAATTACATTTGGGGCTTGGATACTGTCACCAGGAAGAACCTGGGAGTCAACGGCTAACAGCGATGTGGAAGCTTAGCTCCTCTGATGGGAAGATCAACTCGGCATTCATTTCTGTCCCTACTGCCCCTTGGAATGATTACTTGTAACTTCCCTGTACTCCTGAGTCTATGTTTATTGGTTTATTTGTTAGGACTTTTGTTGCCAGGGAGCAGAAATCCAATTCAAACTAGTTTAAGAAAAAAGAGGCATTTTGTCGTCTGGTATGACCAGGAAAGATCTGGAGTGGTTCGCATAAAAGAAGGAGAAGCTACAGGAAGCAGGTGCGTGGCAGTCAGCCCTGCCCTGATTTAATTCTGCTTGTTTTTGCTTCTCTGTGTCTCTGTGCCTTAAACTTCCCTATCCCAGACAAGTTTCTTGCAGGCAGCCATGGAAAGTGGCCTCAGGCAGCCCTGGGCTCACATCCTATGACTGTATTCTTAACTTGTGAATGGAATTCCCATGGAGAACCCTGGCCCAGCCTGGGCTGTGTGCCCTGCCCCCAACCATCCATGGCAGCTAGGAAAAGAGTAGATCAGTTGGCCAGGCCCGGATCTCGTGTGGAGTCCTGTGATGGGCGTCCCCTCTGAGCTTCACCAAATGGGCATTTCTGAGAGGAAAAGTGAGTTGGGACACCAGGCAGACCAACTCCAGGTCTGGAGGTCAGGATTCACTACTGCTTGGAATTGGGTGGGCCGATGGGGAGGTTTTGCGCAGCCTCAGTAACAAGGGCCATAAAGTAGCTGTCTGCAAAGCTGTCTTCTTGATGTATTCACCGCCCATGACAGGACACTGCCGCAGATGCCCTCAGTGTGTGGAGTTTATTGCCTTTTCATCACTTACCTTTTTTGTCACTTTTTTTAATAACTTCGGCAAGAAGTTGTAAACCTCCCAGCGTGATCCGGCATTTTCACAGCCTATACTCACGATGACTGTTTTATGTGAGAAAGGTTCGGTGCCTGTCTTAATCATGCATGGCATCTTTGCCAACTTAAACCCCGAGGGCACATGTATTAGCCCCGTCTTGTAGCTGAATTTGTAAATCATGAGACTGTCCCAGATTGGTGGCTGGAGCAAGTCACACGCTGAGCCAGTACTGCACAGTACAAGGTGTCTGTATTGAAATTTTGCTAGTCAACTTCTTTCTTGCTTATGTTAATGATTATTAGCCAAGTTCCATGGATCTGATTAATTAGCATACTAATCTGAACCATAGATTGACCATGCTTTAGTCTGTTCAGCCAAGGGTCTATATCACACCTAAGAATAAAATATAATCCCACATTAAAGTTTGATTTCATCGATTTCTTCATCTGACAGTAAATGTTATGACTATATAACCTAAATACAGCCAAGAGCTTATTTCACAAGTGCACTACAGTATGATGAAGATATATCAAATAGATATATCTGTGTATCCACTATCCATCTTGAGAAATAAAACATTACCAGTACCCCAAAGCCTTCCTCTTGCCCAGTCCCAATAATTATCCTCTGAACAGAAACCACTATTCTGAATTCTAATACCACAGATTAGGTTTGTCTGTTTTTGAACGCTATAGGAATGGAGTCACATAGTATGCACAGTTTTGTGTCTGGCTCCTTTCACTCCACATGTCTGTGAGACGTATTCATTTGTTGCAAGGAGCAGTAGTTTAATCTTTTTCGTTGCTGTATAGAACTTCTACTGTAGGATTATTGTCTTAGTTCACTCAGGCTGCTATAACAAATTATATCAGACTGGGTAATTTATAAACCATAGAAATTTACTGCTCACAGTTCTGGAGACCAGGAAGTTCAAGATTATGGTGCCAGCAGATTCAGCGTCTGGTGAGGGTCCATTCCTTCTAGAAGGCACCTTCTTCCTGTGTCTTCGCTGGTGGACGGAGCAAACAAGCTCCCACAGGCACTCAATTCTGTTCAAGAGGACAGAGGTCTCAAGACCGAATCACTTCTCCCAACCCCCGTTCTCAATACTATTGCACTGGGGATTAAGTTTCAACATAGACAATTTGGGGGGATACATTCAGACCACAGCAAACGTGCTACTGTTTTTTCATCTACTTCTTGTCGATCTGCATTGGGGTTCTCTGGTTTTGGCTATTGTGATTAAAACCGTGACAATCGTTCTTGTACATGACGATCATTCTTGTTCATGACAGTACAGGCCATGTGATGCATGCTGGCTCAGAGTATATTTTAATAATTAGTCCTCCATTAAAATAAAACCATGTTGCTATTTAATGAGAGGGAGAAGACTACGAAAAAATGACAACACACCTCTCCTTTCCCCTTTTAAAATTCACTCTAAACTTCCATTTTAATAGAGGACAAAGATATTTTATGGAAATATCAAAGAAGGAAAGAAGGGAGGGACATACGACATAAAGGTAATATTTAGGGAGCCACAGTGGCTCTGGCCAGTTGTCCTGGTGCTTGAGGAGGCAAGGCTATGAGTTCAAGGCCAACCTGAGCAACATAACAAGCTCTCATTAACTAACTAACTAAATAAATAAATAAAGGTAATATTTAGTCTGTGGTTCTGTGTGTGAAAAGAGAGCTCCATTGTCAACATAAGTATGGCTTCATTTCTACATATATTCTTGTGTTTTTTAAGAAATATCTTTTTTCTGACTATAAAGTAATACACACATTGCAGACATTTTGGAGGCTATAAGTGAAATTAAAGTGTAATATTACCTGTACTCACAGACAAAGCTACTGTAAACTCTTTGTTAATACATATTTTAATAAATTTAGTTGGGATTTTTTTCAGAGGAAGAGGCAGAGTAATGAGGTGTTACTTTCAGAAACGTTTTATTTATACAATTGCGTGGAGCAATCGTTTTTTTTTTTTTCTTTGGAGTTTGAGCTGCCCATCAGCCTCATGGCACAGACAGCAGGCAGGGACGGTTCTGCTCCCTCTCAGATGTTCATCCGCCCCTTTCTCTTCTCCCAGCATCTTTTGCCCCACCCTTTCCCCAACTCCTCCAACTACCCCTTGGTCATTATGGCGGGCTGGATAATGACCCCCCAAAATATCCAGGGCCTACATCCAGGAACCTGAGACTGTTACCTTTGATCAAATGCGCTTTGCGAAAGTGATTTAATGTCTTGAGATGAGAGGACATTCTGGATTATCCACAAA